CGATAGAAATATGGTAAAATAATTAGCTTTTCCATATACATAAAATTTAAATACTGAATCGCTTTAGCATAATATATACTCTCTCCATTTCAAAAAAGAATAATCTGCTTTCTTTTTTTTTTTAGGTTGTTTTCAAAAGAATGACTCATTTCCTTATTTAACAACACATTAATTTAAGTTATTCATGTGACATGTTTAAGGCCACAAAATTAAAAGGTATTTTGATACTTTTGACATTACTTTAATTTAGGACCACAAGATTGAATTTTTCTTTTTCTTTTTTATAAATTATATGTCAAATTAAATTAGGTCTTTTTTTTAAAACATAGAGAGTATATTTTGAATCCCTTTGTTTGGATTCTTAGTATGTTCATGTTTAACTTGACATGCTCTTCAAGAATATATATTTATTCTAATCTAGAGGTTGGAAAATGAATTGAAAATAGTACTACTCTTTAATAATAAGGATTAAAAAAGTATAAAATGATAAATTATTCCTTGATTTTTGAAACTGATCAATTAGAAATGAACAAAATGAGTAGGTAAAGTTCCTTTTTCATTCCCTTCTTTTTGACCCGACAGAGGTTTATTGGATAAAATTATAGAATGTGAAACCAATTTTGAAGTGTGAAAGGAAATGTATTAATCTTTGAAGAAATATTTCAATTTTCCAAGTCGTCAACATTTCGACTTATAATTTTCAAAAGAAGTCTATACTTTTTTATTATTTTGTTTTTGTTCCTTTTTTACCCGTTTCTAGCTAGGAGTTCCTTTCCTTTTTACTTTCTTGATAATTCAAAGTCACAGTCTTAAAGTTGGAGTTTGTGGGGGAAATATTTACCATTGAAGTAACACTTATCGTCCGTAATAAGTTTAGTTCATCTTAGGTGTAATCTAATGAAATAACCACCTTAATGTATTACCAAAGAGAAAATACATAAAAAAAAAAAAAAAAAAAAACCTTAAACTTAAAAGTTCCTGCATATTAACCATGAAAGGGAAAACACAAAGTAGTTTCTTTTTAATTTATTTTACTTTCACATATATTAATTAATAGTTAAACGTGTGAAAGTGATATATGTACAAATGACAGGTTAAAAGAGTACAACACATTTGACCAAATTATTTACATAACAATATTAATTTGTGATAATACATAAAATCCTTCCTAAATTTGGCTAAGATTTATAACTTGAACATCTATAATCTAATTTATGTTGTGTTTGTAATACCCTTCCAACTTTCCTTTTCTGTATCTGTCACTATCCCATCGAAGGCCCCGGCCCTCGGGTACGCTAGACTAGACTGTCAATGCATATAGTAGATGATGTCGAACTAACCGAAGTAGATGATGTCGAACCCCTTCGATTAGTTTGTTTGTTTACTTCTTCAGATTTTGAACCCCTTATTAAAAATTCTAGCTCCGCCACTAACGACGATTATAAGAAAGTCAACATGATGTCAAGAGGAGGAGACACCAATACAGAGAACTGTTTGCTTGGTGGAAACTTCAACTACTATATCCCCACTATATATGCATTATAAGAAAAAAAACCTAAGCTACAGAACATGACCTGTGGCGGAGCTAGGTAGGGCCCAGGGGGTTCATCCTTCATATTTTAAACTCTTAATGCAAAATCTGGCTCCGCCACTTAACATGACATAAATAAGCTAGAAATGCAACTTATGAGTTTTCTTGATTTTGCATCTTAGTTTCATTTTCTTTGAACTTATGAGTTACTACATAGCCAGCTTCACTGAATCTTAGCTAAAGACAAGGCATGAACTATGACAATGCAACAACCACTTGAGGCATAATGTATACGCACGTAAACTTGACCTCGGCTGATAAATAAATATTTCAACTTTGAGTATGCACATCTAGACATGACCCTAACTCGTCTCCATTGTGTCAGTTGAACACTCCAACGTATAAAATGAGATCATCTAGACACCTCCAAAATTTATGTGACATGTCAGTATCAGGTATCCACGAGACATAGTGGGAAACAAATTGGAGTATTTGGTTGCCAGTTGAGACCAATTTAGAGTGTCTAAATGTGCACTTGTTTACTTGTCAGTTGAGGTCATGTTTGAGTGTCTGTTTATATATTATACCAACACTTAACTCACCAAACGATTGAAAAAATAGATTGTCTTTATTATTGTCTATTGAATTGAAATTACAGATAACAAACAGAAATGAAAGTGTAATACAGAGAAGAAGAGAAATGAAGGAATACAGAGAACTCTTAACACTAATTTGGCTTATCCAACCATTTATTTATGTAATAATACCTTCATATAGTTCATGTCTAGCATGAACTTATTCAAGATCCCGTGCATAATTTGCTAAGTTTCCATCCATGTCCTCCCATAGATTCATTTTTGTACATAAAACACGATTTTTTCCCTATTGCAGCAGCTGGTTTAGCTTAAACCTGTACTTTTATAAACGCGACAGAGTCATACCTTGTCTTGTCCTTCTCATTATTCATTAGTGAAAAGATCTCAGTTGGTAAGTAGCATTCCCCTATGGCCCTGGAAGAATTTAAACCACTACGAAAGAATGCAGCTTTACAGGAACATTTATTCAAACATGCGCGTTTACAAGTATTCACATCTGTGTTACTAATATCTGCAGTAAATGCGAAATAGTCCACATCTTCAACTTCCAAAAGTCTGTGTTTCTTTAAGTTGTTACAAGTTAGCTTTTTGGCCTCAGAGCAACCAAGATTAGGCAGCCTAACGTTTATCGGTCTGAAATAGGTAGTTGAATTAGAGCTTATGGGACAACTACATTGTCCCATTGTGCAAATGCCATATCTTCCACAGACTGTGGGGTAATTGCACACACCACGAAAGCCTGTCAAGAGATCATCCACCTCTCCCCATCGATTTTTCCACTCGTACACTTTCAAGTGTCCGTTGGACTCGAGTTTCATATACTGAGCAGAGGATGCTGGAGTAATAGAAACCAGAACCAACTCGGTTGTACCACTCGAATTTGTGAAGAAAGTTAAGCTTCCATCCAAATACTTAACATAATTGGATCCTCCACTAGGATCCAATCCACCAATAGTCGCGTCAAAGTATGTTTGGGGAGGATTTGACTCTATGAAAGCAACCAAACCATTATCGATAGCAGAGAGGGAAAACAAACCTCCTTTGGTCCAGTTTGTTGTTGAAACACTTGCTGTTAGTTTCATCCCGGATACTAACTTCTGCCCTGGAACTAAAGCATCTGTCGGGTGATCAAACGATTGCCAAACAGTTGCATTCTTCAAATCAAACAGAACAAGATTCCCTTCATCGGTCAAGCTTAAACCAGCAACAGATTTGCCAGCAGTGTTAGTTGACCAAGCCAAAGTACCATCAGCATTTCTGAGCACCAAGTCTCCTTGTGCTGTAAGCTGCAAAGTTGAATTGATCTTAACCGGATTGTTCCGGTTAGCAGACCAAACAACTTGTGGGAATCCAATCGCGGGAGAAGTAATTTGGGACGCGCTATTAGTTTGCACAATGAAAATGGCAAAGAGGTAAGTATCACAATTGCCATTACAGTAGAAACCACAAGCATATTTTGGACCAAAAGTTCCTCTGAGTAGTATAGCCCTTACTCTTGAGCCATCAGTGAAATCCACTGAATGGGGTGCAGAAACACTGTTGATCCAAGTTGTAGAAAGATTTGCAGTGGGGTAATCGAAACGTTGGCCCGATATCAGATAACAAGAACAACAAAGAAGGATGAAGGCAAAAGGAATAATCTTGCATAAAGCCATTAAGAACACTAGAGGAAGATGAGTTAAAATTTGATGAATTGCATTTTCTAATGCAGAATCTATATATAGTATGATCAAGAAAGCAGCAAGCACCTAGTTTTCACAAATTAGATAACATTGAAATTGACTAGTAAAACTCAAGCCAGCTGGAAGTTTGTTGTATAGAATTCAAGTTGTCTTTGTCAATGCTATAAATCGCATGTAAAAAAGAATATATTGCTACATGATGATCTTTGACTATTATTTTAAAAAGGGAAAAAGCAACTTTGACAAAAGGCTCATTTATGTCATCCATTGAAAGTTTGGCTCATCTACCTTATTTCCGTTTGAGAAAAGGCTCATCCATGTCAGTATTTGTTTTTAGTTAACAAATAATGGCTAACAGCATGAATAAACCTTTCTCAAACGAAAATGGCATAGATGAGCAGAACTTTTAACGGATAGCATAGATGACTCTTTTCTCAAAGTTCGATAGCATATTTGAGCGTTAAAAGAGCCTAGTTGAAATTTTGGCTTTTGGTATATTAAAATATTCACCGTTTACTTGTCCTACTATACAACATTCTGTAACTTGGACAAGCAATTAACAAGTCAAAGAATCCTACAATAAAAATGGTATTTGACCGATTTATTCGCTCAAACCATTGACCATGAATTCTATGTTCTACTTAGTCTCTCTTCTATTGTATTTTCATAGTAGATCGTTCGATCTGATTTTACTTATGAGAGTAGCATGAGTTCTACAAAACGTGTATTTTAAATATGACGATTAGTTCCTTGCTTCGAACGTAAGTAGATTGAACACATTATGCCAATAATGCTCAAATAACACAAGCAATAGGTCAACAACACAAAAATAATATTGACTTTATATATATACAGTGAAATTCTCTTATGGTATACAATAAATATTATATTCCTTTGGTTTCTTCATGTGTTTATTTCTTTAAATGTTGAATTCCGTGATAGCTTTGGCTTCGTCATTGGTGTCATTGAATTAGGTACCTTCCAACCAACTGTGCAAACTCCAAATGAAAATGAGCAACTCCAACCAGCTTTCTGAATGTATCTGTGGTGTATGTTACATAATATATGGTTTACGATCGAGAGCAGAGAGCTTCATCAAGTCAATATCAATAGAAAGATGTGTCATGTCCTTAAATAAACGATGTTTTCTTCGACACCTCACAATATTATTTATTTCATGATAAAGAAACATTGACATGATACAAGAGATCAGTTGACAAACTTTCTTGAATCAAAGCAAAAACTCATCTAAAATACAATGGCAAACCTGTTTTACAAGTAAACTAAAGATCTATAATCGACTCGTACTAAGATCATATTACGAGGAGGAGATAGACCTCGAAAAATACTTGAATGAATGTGGATGAAAACTTCATATAGAGATACAAGAACAATGTCGAAAATTTGTCCAACAAAAATAGGCCCTTAGTATTTATGTATGGAAACTGATCAATCTTTTTTACCAACAATAATGATGAATGAAAAGCTTCTTTCTTTCACCAGCAAACTGATCAAAGGCTGTCCAGTGCAGGGTCAAGCCGAAAACTAATCAATCGACACTGCCTCTTTCGTTCTATTTGGTATTAATTCAAATATGGCAACTCATCCTCTCTTGAAAACATCAGCATTGCCAGCAGTCATCTAGCAATCATATCACAATCAAACAGATGCAGACTACAAGTTATCTTAGATCGGCTCGTAAGCATCTATGATCTATCCATAGTTTATCAGTATAACAAGCATTGATGAAAGTTGAGCAAGTACATAAAAAGAAACAAAGCAGCTAGGATTTGTATCCAATTTCCTCCACACCAACTACTGTCTATTATGGTATGTCTTGAGAGACAAGAAAGGATAGATGTAGTTCACAGAAAATAAAAAATGTTCTCTAACTACATCACTTATACTAAAATGAAAAATTAACAATCAGGCTGATCAAAGCAGGGGCCTCATTTGTTTTATTAAGACTTAGATGTCTCAATCTGAATATACATTTGGATATGAAGATGTTGCATTAAGATCTGGATACCAAATAATTAAGACGGTTTGTTTTCTCAACATCTGAATGTATAAAACTTGTATTTATTCAAAAATTAGTAGATACAGAATTCAAATAACATACCAATTAATCTAATTACTATATCAACAAAACATTTTTAAAATTATATGATGGTTGGTGGTGGTGATGGCCAACGGTGGCGGGTTGTGGGTGCCGACAGGAGATGATGTTAGTTGATGGTGTTGGTTGTGGGTAATAGATAAAGGTGATGGTGGCCGGTAGTAGTGGTTAACATTGGTATTGGTGGCTGATAATAATGGTGGATGATAGTGATAGTTAATGGTAGGGATGAATGATAAACAAAAAAGAGAATAATATTATATTGAAGTTCTATGACAATGAAAAGCAACTCCTCCGTCATACGCAACATACAAAATGCATCAGAGCCTTATAATTAAGAAGCTTACTAGGTTCGCAAATGCAGATAAAGTGATATTAGAACTTCAAGGGCCATCCTCTTGATCTTCCAATTCTTCAAGAATAACATACTTTGCAGCTCCATTTTGCGTTGAGGATCGTGAAATTTCATCTTCACTTGGATTACCTTTCTGTAATTTGTCATACCTGAGAAGAAGCGGAAAACAAATTTAATACCTAGCAAAAACCATCCAACACTTCAAATCTTTTTATAATTTTCATGACAACCCTATACTATTAGCGATTTGCAAGACCAGTTATTAACAAGTACAGTTTAACTGGATGCTGTCGCTCAAGTGAAATACATCACCGACATGTTTCCTGTAAGACCCTGGCCATGCTATGAAAGAAATATTGAAGAGCTTGTACAAATACTAGATAAGTTGAAAGTAAATGCAAAGCGATTTTGTGCACCAATTCTGAGGCAATGATCAGTGATTGCTGGACAGTACAAGGTTGGAATCTCTATTTCAGAAGACTTCTAAATGATTGGGAAATAGAGAGAGTAGCCAAATTGTTGGAGGAAGTGGGGGATTTTGCAGGCACCAATACTGACAATGATGTTGTTAGATGGTCACACAGTAAGGATGGGATCTTCACAGTTGGCAAGGCATATAAAAAGGAGTGCAACTCGCAAAGTAGCAGATACCAGAGTTCATGGAAAAATATCTGGAGGACTGCAGCACCAACAAAAGTTAAATGCTTTACTTGGCTGGTCATTAGAAAGGCATGCTTGACACATGAAGTCTTGAGGAAGAAAAGAAAGATCATACTTCCGTGGTGCTCTTTATGTGGAAAGACGGGGGAAACTAACAGTCACCTATTCTTACATTGTACTTTCACAGCACAAATATGGTCCATGTTTCTCAACTATTTAGAAGTGAAATGGACTATGCCCGAACATACAGCTGATTTACTTAGTTGTTGGAT